GGAGCAGAACGGTGTTTGGGAACAGTGACAGATGAGGCTGAGACCTGGGAGAAGCAGCCACGGCATTTAGATGGGACGGCAGGGAGCCGCGGGGAGCCACGGGACATCCTGGAGCCGGCAAGCGGCAGCCGGGAAGCAGCCTGGCCCGGGGGGTAGGCAGAGTGGGGGACGGAAGAGAGCCACGGGGCGGGCGGGAGCCAGGTGGCAAAGAGAACGAGAACGTGGTGGAGGAGGTGAGGGCTGGGCGCCCTGCTGGGAGCCAGCTCCTTTGTTCTTTTTTTGTTTTTTTTTGTTGTTGTTGTTTTTTTTTTTTTTTTTTTTTTGACAGGCAGAGTGGACAGTGAGAGAGAGAGACAGAAAGGTCTTCCTTTGCCGTTGGTTCACCCTCCAATGGCCGCCACAGCCGGTGTGCTGCGGCCGGCGCACCGCGCTGATCCAAAGGCAGGAGTCAGGTACTTCTCCTGGTCTCCCATGGGGTGCAGGGCCCAAGCACTTGGGCCATACTCCACTGCACTCCCAGGCCACAGCAGAGAGCTGGCCTGGAAGCGGGGCAACCGGGACAGAATCCAGCGCCCCGACCGGGACTAGAACCCGGTGTGCCGGCGCCGCAAGGCGGAGGATTAGCCTAGTGAGCCGTGGCGCCGGCCAGCTCCTTTGTTCTAAAGGCTCCTGGTTTGAACCTCAGGTGTGGGGACGGTTCCCTGGACGCCCCCTTCTGTGCCTGGGCGGCTCCCTTGTCAGCAGGGACCACCCTGTGCCTGAGAAGCTTGAAGTTCACTTGGATGAGGAGAATGCACCTGGAGCCCTAAGCCCACAGCAGGGCAGCCCGCTGGCCCCCAGGATGGCGGGGACCGTTAGGACCCCTGGCCCAATCCCGGCCACCTCAGGGCTTTCCTGCCAATACCCTCCCCCCACCCCGAGACGCGGGACCTTGGGGCACAGATGAGGACCCCGCACTGGCAGGGGCTCAGGTGGCAAGGGCCACAAAGGATGACGGCGTTCCTGGTGACGTTTGCCGTCACATAGTCGTTGGCGTCTGGGTTGCATGGGGAGGGCGGTGGTGCCAATCCTGGGGTTCCCAGGGCCCCGCACCCCGTACCACGGGCAAGAATCACCTGCAATCCAGAACTCGTTGAGGCTGGGCTGGAGCCAGAACCCAGCCTGCCAGCCAACTCCTCAGCGATGCTTTCCTTAAGTGGCCAGGATTTCCAATGGAGGGCTTGGAACCAAAACAGAGCTGGCTTGGGGCAAGAAGCTGGGTCTCAGTTTTCTCGTAGGTAGAATGGGTAGATCTTCACCAAGCTTGCAGGGCTGCTGGGGGGAAATGGCTTCTACCGCCTTGACAGAAGTCAGGAGCTGCTGCCCAGGAAGTGTGCAGAGTGCTGGCTCTGTGGTATTTTTATTAGTTACCACCACCACTACTGTTACTGCCGTCACCTTGGCTCGGAACACTCTGCATCCGGGCAGGGCCGGTCTCCACGTCCTCAAACCACAGGAGCCTTCCCGGGCCTCCCTCCCTTCCTTCCCCCCCCACCCCCCCAGGAGGAGGAATCAGGGTGCTTGCCGCACCCGTACATCATTTCCCCCGCAATTTCACCGGCACACCTTGCACGCCGCTAGCCCGTCTCCTAGTGGGCCATCCTCGGTAGGCGGTCTCCTCTCGCCCTGGGCCTCCCCGCGTCTCTGAAACTCTCTTTCCAGGTCTTCCTGGAAGCCAAAGCCTGCTTTGCCCCTTCCAAAATCCCCGTGTCGCCTGCCCCTGGCCTCTGCTTGGTCCTATGCAAATAGCACGCAGGTGAGGCTCAGAACGGTCTTCCCCTTGACCTTGGACGCTGCCTGCAAGGATCCTAAGGGAGGACCAAGGTCATTCTCCAAAAAAGACACTTAGTGCTGATCTGGGAAGAGCAGAGGCCAGGGGCAGGCGACACGGGATTCACATGTCCGTGTGTGTGTGTGTGTGTGTGTGTGCACACGCACGCGCATGTGGAACACACCTCCCTCTGTGTCTCTCCAGTGTCTACACCCCTCGCTGCACACACTGCCCCGCCCCAGGTGCTGCATCCACCTCCTCCCAGCCTCCCACCCTCCCCTCCGGGCCGCACCTGCCACACCCACCTGGAGCCCCCTCCACTGCAGAAACCGCAGGCCCTTCTGGCTGAGCGGTGAGGAGATGCGGGCACCAGGGGAGGCAGAGCTCACCACGGGAAGCCGGGCCTGTTTATTTGCGTGGCACGCATTTGTCTCCGACTGTTTTATCTGCCCCCTGAGCCTCCGGAAGAGTTCTCTGTTTCTCCGCCCGTGCAGGGAGACCAGCTCAGCGCCACGCATGCACGTTTACAGAAGCCCGATATAGACTTCCAATTATCTTTTAATTTCGCTCCTGTCTTCATTTGTTCATTTCACTTTCTCCAAACAGGGACTTGGGGGGAAGAAAAGCTGTGATTTATGGAGTTTGAAGTCAGCTGGCGGAAGTCTCGTGTCACCTGCTGGATGTGGAAGGAGCCTCAGGGCGCCGCCGACAGCGCACTCCAGCCCTGCAGAGGAGACAGCGGCTCTGGGGCCCCGAGCCCCCCTTCTCCGCCCTCTGCTCTCTCCTGTTCATCTAACTCTGCGTCGTCTCGGTTTCTCTAGTCTTGATGCCCTGGCACCTGAGACCTCCCTGACAGGGGCTGGGGGTGGGGGAAGGGGGGAGGGGTACTAACCAAAAGATAGCAAATGGCTCAGCCGGGGGCAGACCTGTCCTAGGCAAAGCAGCCCAGGGGGCGCCCCCCCACCCCCGCACACACCCACTGTACCCAGCTTTCCAAGGCTCTGACTCTGGACCCACGTTCCTGCTCTCACCACCCCAGGCCCAAGGAGCCGACATCTGAAGACAACCTGGAGCCGCCCCCACCCAGGTACTCAGACCAGCCACCCTGAGCCTGCTGCCCTGCCTCTGCCATTGCCTCCTGGGCAGTTGTCACTCACGCAAGGAGGAGCCTCCTGATTGGCCCTGCAGGGCTGCTATGTCCCTCCTCTTGGGAACCATGAGTAACAAGTTCCTGTCGGCCCCACCATACCCAAGCAACAGCAACGCCCACCATTTTTATTACAACCTTTATTTATTTGAAAGGCAGAGTGACACAGAGAGAGGCAGAGAGAGAGAGAGAGCTTCCATCTGCTGGTTTACTCCACAAATGCCCACAACAGTCAGGGCTGGGCCAGCTCGAAGCCAGGAACCTGGAACTGCATCCGGGTCTTCTCCGTGAGCGGGGGCGGGGGGGGGGGCTATACTTGATCCATCATCTGCTGCTTCCCCGGGTGCAGGAAGCTGGATGGGAAGCAGAGGAGGACTCCATTCCAGGCCTGCCAACACGGGATGCAGACGCCCGAAGCGGCGTGCTAGCCACAGTGCTAAACGCTGGCCCACATTGTGAATTCATCTCTGCTAGGGCTGTGTTGGCTGAGAGGACGGCAGGAAATGCTACCGCAGGATTCAAATCCGGGCCGTCTGACCCCCGACCTTGCACCCAGCCGCAGGTGCCAACCTGGAGGCCTCCCTGCCCTGTCCTGGCTCTAGGTCCCGGCTCCCCGTCTTCCCCATTCTTACCTACTTCCTTCTAGACCGCACCCATCTAATGCCAGCTCCACCCTGTCTGTCATAGCCTGGAGCAGGGACTTTGTCACCTCTCCAGGAACCAGCGTTATCACACCCACCGTCCCCTCGACAGCACATTCGCCCCCTGCAGGGCCACAGTCTCCACACCTAAGTGCAGCTGCGTGGGAAGCATCTGATCGATATTGGCCAATCGGTCAGTCAATCATTCTGTGCCCCGCCTTCCTTTTTCAATGCCCGAGCGCTGCTTTCTGGACTCCTTTGTCCCCGCCGGGATGCTGGGAAATGCCTTGTTAATTTCCGCGTGCTCTGAGCCACAGCTTCCTCGCCTGTAACAGGGATGAGAACCCCGGGGCTGGAGCACTGGGAATACGAAATTCTGCCCCAGTGCATGGGTTCCCGGACTTCATTCCTCTCCGCCACTCCCCTTGGGTGTGCAGGGAGCAGTCGCTCAGCCACCACCCCACGAGTGGGGAGGGACTCCCAGTGGATGGGAAAAAGCTAACTCATCTTTCACTTCCAGACCCGCTAGAAACTCCGGGGGTGACGTGAAAACGCACGTGTCAGGGCTGGCTTCCAGCCCGGTGGTGACCCCAGTTAGGATGCCCACGGCCGAGAGACGGCGCTCAGGTCCTAGCTCCAGCCCCCGCCCCCCGCTAACACAGCCCTGGGAGCCAGTGGTGCCAGCTCACATGCTAGGATTCCTGACACCACCACCCATGTGGGAGCCTGGATGGGGCTCCTGGCTCCTGGCTTTGGCCTTGCCCAGCTCCAGCCGATGCAGCTCTTTGGGGAGTAACCAGCGGATGGATCTCTGTCTGTCTGCCTATGCCTCTAGAATACATTTTGAAGAAAGAAAAAAAAAGTGGATTTTCCTGGGACCCCCCCGCCCTGCAAACCTCTGCTCTCAGAATGTCTGGGGGTGGAGCCTGGACATCTGCCCTTCTAGGGAGCATCCAGGGAGTCAGGTGCCTGTGGGATCCACGGCCATGATTTTGACCTGGATGGGGAGAAAAGGAACCATCCCCTACCCCCCACTCCTGCCAAGAGGTGACCTTGGGGCAGGTGAGACCTCACCCGGCTCTGTGCAGCTCTGGAGCCTGCACTCAGGGACCGGAAGTCCCCATGTACAAGCAAAGTGTGAAACGGGGTGACGGTGACACTCGCTGACAGTCTCTCCAGGGCTGGGACCATGAGCTGCAATCCGCCCAGAGCCCCCGCCCCACTCCCACCTGGCACAGGGGCCCGGATCCCTGCTGGCCACCGTCCCAGTGACATCCAGGGTCGGCCCTCAGGCGCTCAGAATGGGGGGTGGGGAGCGGATGCTGTGCAGGGCACATTTCCCGCCGCAGCCCACGTGACAAAGGCGATCAGGAGACCCGAGGGGAGGGAGGTGACCGGGGAGCAGGGAGGCACTGGGCAGAAAGGCCCGAGGGACACAGCCTGACCCTGAAGGCTGGAGCAACACGGACCAGGCAGGAGGCGGGGGCCTGTGCCCTCACCCAGCCAGGAGACAGGGAGCAGGGGGGAATGTTCTCCCAGGAGTGAAGCCTCTACTTCCGGTTTTCAATTAGAAAAAATGGAGCCGAGAGCTCACATCCCCACGTGGAAGCTAAGCTCTGCAAAAGCCGGGTGGATTCCCCCCCACCCCCACCCAGCCCCTGCACTGGTTCCGGAGAGACCCCTGGAGCCTTGGTCAGGGGAGGGGCAGAAGCAGTCGGTGCCTGGGAAGCGCCCCTCCCCCCACGGCGGTTACATCAGCGTGAGGATGCGGATGGAGGAGGAGGAGGAGGAAGAGGGGAGGAGAGCAGAACAGCTAATATTGACCCAGCCTGGGGCTCAGGGCTCTGCACCCGTTAACCCGTTCCAGTTCTTACCACAGCCAGGCAAGGCGTGGGTGCTGTCAGCCTCCCGGCTTCACAGAAGGAAAACAGAGGCACAGAGAGGTACAGTCACCCGCGTGAGGTCACACAGCTGGTAAGTGCAGAGCTGGAGTCTGGACCCGGGCCCCCCAGCACTGGTGAGGGGAGTGGGGGGCTGTGACAGGTGGCTGGGGTGCAGGTCTTCCCTTGGCCACTGTCAGGTTGGAGGGGTCATCGGGTTCTGAGGGCGAGGTGGTGACCCCCGGTCCAGCTCCTCTCTGGATACCAGTGCGATGTGTTTTCCTGGACTGCTCACCACAAGGCCGGTTTCTCTGAACAAACTCGTCAGGCGGGAAAGGAGGGCAGAGGCTTCCGGGGGCTGGTCAGGTGGCTTGGCCGCCTTCCCTGGCTCCGGACTCCCCTGCTGCGTCCTGGGCCTGAGCAGTGACTCGCTGACCCCCACCGTGGGGACCTCAGTAGGCAAGGTCCATGCCCCGGCTGCCTGGCTGCACCTGCCCCAGGACTCACCACACCCGACCTCCAGCCCATTAGATTTGCAAAAGAGAAGACAAAGCACTTGCTCAAAATAAATAAATAAATAACCACCCCCTGCACTTCCTGGGATCAGGTGACTGGCTGAGAGCTTCCTACCCATCGTGTACCCGCCGGGCACTCTCACCGTTCCCCGACTTCTGGCCGCAGGGCGTCACTAGCTCAGCCCCTGGGCCGCCCCCACCCCCAGGGAAGGATCGTGGGATCCACAGGAGACCAGCAGCAGAGCTCTGCCAACCCAGGGCCCCAGTGGTCACCCTCTGCCAGTTCAAAGTCACCTCTGCTCCGACTTCTCAGCCAGCCGGCCAGCGCCAGCCCAAGGGCTCCCTCCCACTCCACGCACGCAGCAGGATCCAGGAACCTATCCCTATTGGGCAATTATTAATCGGATTCTTGACATTCCTCAGGCCCCAGGCCACCTGAGAAGCATGCTCCCGGGAGCAGTGGAGGCCCCGGACTGGCACTGGGACATGCAGCTGACAGGCAGAGTGCTGCTGTCGGCCGCCGCCCTGCTCCTGGTGACCGCAGCCTATAGACTGTACAAGTCCAGGCCTGCCTCGGCGCAGCAGGGGAGTGGCAATGCCAAGGCCAAGGCCGAGGAGGAAGCAGAGGGCTCCGGGCAGCCTGCCGTCCAGGGGGCTCCTGCAGGTGTGCGGCAGACAGGGCCGAGACGCCGGAGGGTCAGCCAGGGCGGCAGCTGCGAGGATCCAGGAAGCCCCGGAGTGCTGGCCTCGGAAGCTACTTCCAGAGACGGGAGGCCCCAGAGCAGAGGCTCCAGGGAGGAGCCGGGCAGGTGGCACCCAGACTCGGAGCAGGTGCCTCCTCGCTGCCGCGGCTGCGAAGCAGGAACAACTGTTGGCGGTAAGCCCAGCCCTCCCCACTGCCTCCCACCGAGCAGTGAACCCAAAAGCCACCCAGCTGGACTCGCAGCAGCAGCCGCGGACGGCAGCGGTGTGGGTGGCGAGCCTGTTCCCCGGGGGGGCGGCACGGTGCCGGGACAGCCAGGGCCAGGGGAGCGGGAACCCTGCCGCCAGCACTGCATGGCCCCTGCGGCAGGCCGTAGTGACATGAATCCAAGCTGGGTCTTCACCCGCGTGACGGGGGTCAGCAGGGAAGAGGCCGGGGCCCTCCAGGCCGCGTCTGACTTGGGCCTGGCCCTGCACCAGCAGGAGGGCGCCACCGACGCCTCCTACACCTTCTCGTCGGTGGCTCGGGTCCGCGTGGAGGAGAATTTCATTCAGCAGGTGGAGGGGAGGGGGCTCGGGCTGAAGGGCAAGGTGTACGATTACTACGTGGAATCCACCTCGCGGGCCGTGTCCAGGCGGGCCCCCCAGACGGCAGCCTTGACTGAGGCTCCTCCCCCTGGGGCACTGCCAGGCCCCCCCAGGGCAGCGGTAGCCTCCAGAGGCCCGGAGCAGAACACGGAAGATGGAGCGGAAGCGGCCGCCTCCCCGCCACTTGTGCAGGTGCCCTCCGCACGCGGCTTCGGCAGGAAGGAGAGCCTCCTGCAGATCGCCGAGAACCCAGAGCTGCAGCTCCGGCTCCAGGGCTTCGCTGCCCCGGCTCCGCCCAGCCCGGCCCAGGACGCCGAGGCCGGCCCAGCCGGAAGCAGCGGCGAGCCCCACGTGCAGCTCGTGGCCGGGACCAATTTCTTCCACGTTCCGCTCACCCCCGATTCGGCCCCAGACATCCGCCTGGATCTGGGCAATTGCTATGAGGTTCTGACCTTGGCCAAGAGGCAGGACCTGGAGGCCCTCAAGGAGGCGGCCTACAAGGTGATGAGTGACAACTACCTCCAGGTGTTGCGCAGCCCGGACATCTACGGCTGCCTGAACGGGGCGGAGCGGGAGCAGATCCTCCAGCAGCGGCTCCGCGGCCACAAGTACCTGGTGGTGGCTGACGTGTGCCCCCAGCGAGACGCGGGCCGCCTCTGTTGCTATGACGACGCACAGGATGCCTGGCACCTGCTGGCCCACATGCCCCCTGAGGCTGTGTCCCGGGGCTGTGCCATCTGTAGTCTCTTCAATTATGTCTTTGTGGTGTCCGGCTGCCAGGGGCCGGGACGCCAGCCCTCCAACCGCGTCTTCTGTTACAACCCCCTGACGGGCATCTGGAGCGAGGTGTGCCCTCTGAACCAGGCCCGCCCGCACTGCCGGCTGGTGGCCCTGGCTGGGCACCTGTACGCCATCGGGGGCGAGTGTCTGAACACCGTTGAGCGCTACGACCCTCGGCTGGACCGCTGGGACTTCGCCCCACCACTCCCCAATGACACCTTCGCCCTGGCGCACACAGCCACGGCGTGCGCCGATGAGATCTTCGTCACCGGGGGCTCCCTGCGCTACCTGCTGCTCCGCTTCTCAGTCCGGGAGCAGCGCTGGTGGGCCGGCCCCACGGGGGGCAGCAAGGACCGCACGGCCGAGATGGTGGCGGTCAACGGCTTCCTCTACCGCTTTGACCTCCACCGCAGCCTGGGCATCGGCGTGTACCGCTGCAGCGCCAGCACCCGGCTCTGGTACGAGTGCGCCACGGCCCGGACGCCTTACCCGGACGCCTTCCAGTGCGCCGTGGTGGGCGAGCGCATCTACTGCGTGGGGCCCCGGCGCATGCTCTGCTTCCTGGCTGACCACATCTCGCCCAGGTTTGTGCCCAGCGAGCTGCAGAGCTTCCCCGACCCCCAGGGCACCCTCCTGCCCACCGTCCTGACCTTGCCCGCCCCCAATGTGCCTCAGACCAGCGTCTAGCAGTCCCCCTGCCGGGCTCCGTGTGCCAAACCAGGAGGCAAGGAGCAGCGCCCGCCCAACCTGTCGCTCCGTGGGCTGCGCCTGAGCCATCAGCTGCCCAGGAATTTGGTCATCAAGAGGCAAATCCTGATCCTTCCTCCTCGCTCGCTGGGGGATCTCAGAGGCATCGTCACCCTTGGTGGGCTGCAGGGTCCACTGTGGAAAACAGGAGCCTGGGCCTGGGGCCCCAGGGCAGAAGGCATCACATCGCTCTGTACCCTTGCTTCAGATCTGGATTTTTGGGTTGAAGGGGATACACCAGGACCCCAGCAGAGCTCAGGGGCCCAGGGGCCCTCTGCAGAGGGAATTGGCCTCCATGAGCCACCTGTGCCCCTTCCAAAGCCTGGGCCACTGGGCCCCAGCTCGGTGGTTCCCAGAGGCCCCTGGAACACACCGGTGGGGGGAAAATATCAAGGCAGGTGGCTCTAGCAGGACCAGGAAGGAGCCTGGGCCAAGGGAGGGGGAGTTGAGGAGCAGAACAGCGCAGGCGGGAGCAGCCCCCGGGGACTGTGGCTTGCAGGGTAAATTGACCAAAGCCGGCTTTACTTCTGCTCATTACCTGGACGGAAGAGAAGCATCCACTTTAATGAGCCCTCTTCCTGGAGAGGTCTGTTCAGAGTACAGCTCGCCCCATAAATGAGGTCTCCGGAGCGGGAGGGGAAGACCCCTCTGAGCCCCGCCCACGCCCGTTGCGCTGGGCCCGGGGTCTCAGGATCCATCCGGGTAACCCAGTCCTCCTGTCCAGAAGCTGGGACACCACCACCACTCAGCACCCCCGTGCCATGGGGTCGTCGCTTGTCCCCTTCGGACAGGAGAACGGCACACAATGAAGCAGAGCCCTGGGGACAGGAGAGCGGCACACGATGGAGCGGAGCCCTGGAGCCCAGCCGCAAGCCAGGGAGGTGGGAGGAGCACCAGGGCAGGGCTGGCAAGGCCAGGTTCAACACTCAGGCCTGAGAATCTCCCAGGATCCCACAGGGGTGGGGAGGGTGGCTTCAGCCAAGACTCAGAGGCAGCGCTGGTGTAATGGCGGCAGCCTGGGCAGGTGGCGGCGGGGGGAGGGGGATGTTTGAGAGGAGAGCCAGTCGGGGAGCTGGGGGCGGGTAGAGCCAGGCGTGCTGCTGGCGAGCAGCCCAGCGAGGACTGGACGGCCACCAAGCAGGTTCACTTGCAGGACCGGCCCCAGTCCGGAAGCCTGTTGCACACCCATGGTGGGGACCAGGAAAGTGGTTCCAGGGACAAGGCAGCAAAATTTGTTGGAGACCTCAGTGGCTGGTGGGTGTGGCTTTCGTAATGAGAGGAGAGCAGAGCTCGGGCCTGGGCTGAGATATGATGTCCACTGGGCATCTCATCTGCTTCCCTGAGAGTCTCACAGCAGACATCACTAATCAAACACCGTATCTTTCCTGATGGGCCCCAGCTGTCCCAACACAATGTCCCAGGCGGCCACTGCCCTTAGATCAGAGCTGGTGTATTTGTCGCCCCTGGCCTGTTCTCTGGAGCCGGGTTTAGGGCTGGATGAGGTTGGGGCCGTCACGGCGGAGTAAGGTGGTTCAGGAGCCCCGGGAAGCCCATGGTGGTCGGGATTCCTTGTGCGTGGGGAAGTAAGTGGAATGTTCTAGGTCCTGCCTGATGGAGCTCACATTCCCATGGAGAAAGGCAGGCAATTTTAAAAACAAACGCAGAACGGAATAGACAGAAGCTGTACCGCATTAGGAGAAAGCAAGGCGGGGATGGGAGAACCGGGTTGAACAGTGGGGCCACGCCCCTCTGAGAAGGTTGCCAGGGAGCAGGGACCTCTGGGGCTGCGGCAGGGGAGGGGCAGGCGCCAGCAGGCGTGCAGGGCTGCAGCCGAGGGGTGCCACTGCGGTGTAGGAAGAGGGCAGGGGCCCAGCTGTCCTGGCTCAGCCTTTGGTAGAAGGGGAAGAATTCAATTACGTCCACATTCACAAATCTCCAAGACTGCTTGGAGAGAAAGAAGCCAGCGACATTCCGGGGAGAGAAGCAGAGTTCGCCCACATCGGGGTCAGCACCAAGTTCATTACCGGGGTGTCACCATTACCATTAAGCGGCTTCCTGTTCCACAGCCTGGGTGGGGTCTGCCGACCTCAGAGCGGCCGGTGTGTCGCTCCGTCTCCTGTGGGTCCGCCGTGCCTTCCCCACAAGCGCTATTTCTTCTGCAGTAAAAAGAATCCCTGGGTTTGGGTTGTTTTCCACTCTAAGCCAACCGTGCCCATTGTAGGAAAAAATTGGAGAACAGAGAAAGGATTTAAAAAATAAAAAAACTCCCCAATTTGGCCGCTCCAAGACCTGCCCTCCTGGGGCGCGTGGCTTCCAGTCTTCCCGCGACGTTGCTGTACGGTTGATTTCTTTGCCTAGATGCGATTATGCCGAGTGCACGGTCCCGTGCTTGCTTTCCACCTCGCACTTCAGAGCAAGCCTCTCCCGTGTCGGTACAAACCCTCGGTAAACACCATTTCAATAGCTGCACAATTCTCCTGCATCCCGTGCACGCGTCGCGCTGTATTTAAACAGCCCCCCTCCTGTTGTGCCTGTGTGGTTTTTTTTTTTTTTCCTGTTGGTTTCCTTTTCTAGCATAAATAAAACAGCCTTTGTTTTCCCTCTCTGGGGACTCCATCAATATTTACAGGATCCCTCCCGTCTGAAACAGCAGAGTGGTTCAAATGATCCTGGAGGCCGCTTTCTGGCCGCCCTTGGACACATCCAAGGTCAAGGCTGGTGGGGTGGGGGCACCCCAGCTCCCCTTCCCGGTAGAATTCCCGGCCAGGTGATACAGGAAGTCACACTTGTTGGTCCAGGCATTAGACCACGTGAACTCCTGTCCTGCCTCATGGCTGTCACAACACGCCCACCTCCCAGGGGTGAAGGCAGGCTCGGAGGGTCTGAGGAAACGCGTCTTAATGGTACAAATCCATGCCCTTCCATTTCCTGAGCCTCGCCTCCCCACCGCCAGGGGCTGCCCTTGTTCTGCATGTGAGGCTGGGGAGTCAGGACTCCCCCTGTGTCCTCTCCACACCCACCAGGGACGCTCTGTCTTCCAGCCTTAACTCTGTGTTAGTCCATCCCTGAGCACCAGGGAGGACACCTGCCACCCACGTCGGAGCACCTGGCCCCGCCCCCCACGCAGGCTCCTGGATCCAGCTTCCTGCCGCTGCACACCCTGGCATGCAGCAGCCACGGCTCAAACCGCCCACGTGGGAGACCCGGATTGCATTTCCGGCTTCTGACCTCTGGGCCCCTGGGAGCATTCAAGAAGTGGACCAGCAGTTGGGACCTCTGTCTCTCTCTCTCTGTCACTGTGCCACTCCAGTAAATAAAAAGTTTAAAGTGGAGAAGACGAGAGGTTTATTTGGCTCCCAGGTTTGGAGGCTGCTTGTGAGGGGCTCCTGGCTGCTTCCTGCCCTGATGGTTAGCACCAAGGTGATGAGAGGGGAGACCACCCGAAGGGAAGGCAGAGCAAGGGGGCGGGGCCAATCTCACAAACTCCTCCCCCACTAGACTCCACCTCTTAAAGGTCCAGCCACCTTTCAACACCACCACCGTACAGGGGACGCAACTCCAATACAAGCACTCTAGGAAGACTCAACCCATATCCAGACTTACGGGAAGCTTCCTGAAATCCTCTGATCCTCAGTGTCTGCATCTGTAAAATGGGTTTCCCACTGCCAGCCTCAAGAGGCTGTCGGGGGCTGTAAAAGTCCCCAGCCCAGGGGCAGTGCAGAGTAGGTTGCAGAGGAGGAGGGGCTGCCCTGCACCAGCCGGGGGGGGGGGGCCTCTGTCTCCTCTTCCTCTTCTGGGAGCCCTGACCCCCCTCCCCGGGGGAAGACTGTCTGTCTGAGACTGCAGGGACACCTTCCTGTCTGAGGAGGTCTGGGGTGGGGGTGCCTGTCTGTGACCTCTGCCCTGCTGATGCTCCTCTCCAGCTTCCCACGGGGCTGAGAAACCTTGAGCAGGTGCAAGGTGGCGAGGACTCCCTCGGTCACAGATGGGGAGTAGTGTCCACTCGGAGAGACGGGGACTGGCTCGAGCTGGGCCTGGGCTGTGGCATTTAGAGCCCCCAACAGAGGCCCCCAGCACTTGCTGTCTTTGGAATCCTTGCCCAGAAGGGCCCTGCAGTCCCCAGGTTCCCCTCAGAGCCCCTGAGGCTGTGGCCACAGCCAGGAGCAGCCCCTAGGCAGCTGCGACAGAAGCAGGCACACGAAACCCAGAGGGAGGGAGACCTGCTTGGAGCTGCGGATTGGAAAGAGAGGGCAGCCCCGGGGGAACGCTCTACAAACAGCCCTGAGCCTCAGGTTGTTTGAAAAGTGGAACAGGGTAGAAATAAAACAGAGAACAAAACACAAGCATGGGGTGGGGGCGTGGACTTTGTGCTGGTAACCCTCACTCGCTCCCCAAGCCAGGCTCTACACCGTTCCCATGCTGATTCCTTTTTTTTTTTTTTTAAGATTTATTTATTTTATTCTAAAGTCAGAGTTACAGAGAGAGAAGGAGAGACAGAGAAGAGAGAGAGAGAGAGATTTCATCCACTGGTTCACTCCCCAGACAGTCTCAATGGCCAGGGTTGGGCCAAGCTGAAGCCAGGAGTTTCTTCCAGTCTCCCACGTGGGTGACAGGGGCCATATATTTGGGCCATCTTTCCCAGGCCATTAGCTGGGAGCTGGATTGGAAGTGGAGCAGCCGGGACGTGAACTGGCATCCATATGGGGTGTCTGGGTTGCAGGCAGCTTTACCCGCTATGCCATGGCGCCAGCCCCACCAGGACACTGGGTGAAAGTTAAAAATCACCATTTCATCACGATGGGTTGAAACGATTACTGGTCATTACAGCACCCACCTCTACCTTTCGGAAAAGCTGGAAGAGCAAAGGGGAGGCATTTTGGCCCGAAGTTCTGATGCCGCCTGGGACACCCACAGCCCGTATCCGAGCGCCTGGGCTATGGCTGGCTCTGCTCCTGACTCTAGTGTCCTACGAACGTGCCCCTCACAGGCAGCGGGCAATGGCTTGAGTGCATGGGTCCCTGCCACCCACGTGCAAGATTCAGATGGAGCTCCTGGCTTCAGCACCACCCAGCCTCAGCTGCGGGCATCTGGGAGTGAGCCAGTGCTTGGGAAATCTCCCTCTCTCTATCTCTTTCAAATAAATGTAATTAATTTTTTAACTTTAAGAAAAAATTTAATCACTGGCAATATATTTATTGGGCATTCACAAGAGGAATGGGTGCATTACTCACACCACCTTGTTGTGTCCTCAAAGCAACCACAGAAGGTCACAAAGTCACCAAGTTCTCCCCCTCCCATCACTTAATCCCCCCCCCCCCCCCGCACCTGGTCATGTAACCTTGTCCAGCCACTGTGATTCAGTGAGCTTGGGCACCAGCTTTGCTTTCCCGTGGCCTTAGAACCCAGAGCTCATCACCAGGGCAACAGGCCCAGTGACCCCAGTCAACAGCTGATCACATGCGCCACCTTGAGGCCACCGATCACCCACAGGCACATAAACAAACCTAAGAGAGAGAGAGAGAGAGAGAAGAGAGAGAGGGAGAGGGAGAGGGAGAGGGAGAGGGAGAGGGAGAGGGAGAGAGGGGGAAAGAGAGAGAGAGAGGGCACAGAAGAGCCAGCAGGCTGAACCCAGCCTAAACTGCCAGTGTCTAAACTCACAGGGGGAAAGAGGGTTGTGGTTTGGAGCCACTGTGTCTCTTTATTATTATTATTATTATTATTATTATTATTATTATTTTGACAGGCAGAGTGGACAGCGAGAGAGACAGAGAGAAAGGTCTTCCTTTTGCCGTTGGTTCACCCCCCAATGGCCACTGCGGCCGGCACACTGTGGCTGGCGCACTGCACTGATCCAAAGCCAGGAGCCAGGTGCCTCTCCTGGTCTCCCACACGGGTGCAGGGCCCAAGCACTTGGGCCATCCTCCACTGTACTCCCGGGCCACAGCAGAGAGCTGGACAGGAAGAGGAGCGACCAGGACAGAATCCGGTGCCCCAACTGGGACTAGAACCCGGTGTGCTGGCGCTGCAGGTAGAGGATTAGCCTAGTGAGCCACGGCGCCAGCCTTGGAGCCACTGTATTTCAGGGTGGCATGCCCACAGCACCAGGGCAGTGACCCGGGAGCCCTGTAGGGAGCGCATTAGCAGTGCCCTTTCCCACAGGTTCCACAGCCATGAGGTAGAGGAGTTGGGACGCCACCAGCTCCAAACCCAGGGGGATGTGGGTTCTGCTCTAGCCAGGCCCCAGGCACTGGGGCTCCCTGTGGGGGCTCAGCCATGGGGCTCTGTGCTCAGCCCTCTGCCATCCCCAGGACCCAGGAACCATCCTGCTGGGGGACGGCCCTGAGGCAGCTCAGATGAGGATCCTGGAGGAAGCCACACAGCCTGGCTCCTAGGAAGCCCCAGCAGAGCTGTGTTTGAAACACACTGGCCCACACAGCACTGGGGCGCGGGGAGGGGGTGCTCAGCACGGCCCACAGTCCCGCTGCACTGCCCAGCTGAGCCGCCGTCCTGTCTCCAAGAGGGACTGGGAACCTTCTTCCCTCCCCTCCCCCACCGGCACACAAGTCAGGGTGGCGGGTGGCCCTTCAGCGCCACAGTGCTGAGCACAGTTTGAAGCCACCACTGCCCGTGCTCTGTACAAGGGCCTCAAAAAGACGCTCTGCCCATGCCAGGAGCACTGCCCAGGGATTTGTCGCCCCCAGAAGAGCCCCCAGTTGATGACTCCTAGGAGCCAGTGGACAAATGCCCCAGCTCGCTCAGCCCTTGAGCAATGTAACACAGGCTCTTGTTCTGCACTGGTCCCAGATCCCACCAGGGTGGAGCTCCGGTTTTCTATGGGAGTGAGCACTAGACACTGTCCCTTTAATGAAGCCACAACAGTCCTCCCTGCCGGTGCTCCCCGGCTCCTCTTCCTCCCCCAGACCACAGAGGAGGAGCAACTTCCCTCCCCCGCAAACCCACCCTCTCTTCCCAGGGGCTCCTGAGTGTTGTAGCCATTGTAACCACCTTGAAAGGCACGGTTCAGTAGCAATGGGTCCACTCACCATGCACATCTATGCTGAGCCGATGCCAGCAGAATGTACAACATGGAGAAGCCCACAACAGGGGATGTCACTCTCTCCCAGACACAACCGGCGACTGCTCTGACTTCTTCCTGTCCGGTTTCTCACTGCCCACCATTTGAAAAAGAAAAATGGCACCTTACGTGGGTGGGCATTTTAGCCGCCCTCTTCCCAGGTGAGAATGTTACAACTGTTGCAAGCTGAGTTTCAACAATCTTCTCCCTGGGCCTCCTGCAGACAGAAGGTGGCATTTCCTCATTAGCCACTTGGAAGCGGGCAGCTCAGCCCATCCAGGGCCCTCACACTGCTGTGCAACCGTCGCCACCACCCATCCCACCCCCACCTCTCAACCTCTGGACGGAATCTGCGTGTCCGTTCCACGCCAACTCCCCCCACCGCCCCACTCCACGCCCTACCCCAGCCCCACACCACGACGTGGCAGTTCTCGGCTCCATCAGCACAGAGATGGAGGAGGCCAACCGTTCTCATTCATTCCAGAAGGTTCTGCAAACAATGGGATGCTTGGGGGCCACAGAATCTGA